TTTTTAGTATGATCATAAGGTTGTGCAGCCATCACCACAGTTAGGAGCTGCCAAACTGTCTTCCATAGTGGCCGCATCACGTTACAATCCCACCAGCAGTGTATGAAGTTCTAATTTCTCTACATCCTTACTGTCACTTATTATCTGACTTTATTTATTTTTTAAAGATTTTATTTATTTGACAGAGAGAGACACAGTGAGAAAGGGAACACAAGAAGGGAGTGGGAGAGGGAGAAGCAGGGAGCCCGATGCGGGACTCAATCTCAGGACTCTGGGATCATGACCTGAGCTGAAGGCAGACGCTTAACGACTGAGCCACCCAGGCGCCCCATTATCTGACTTTAAATATTTTTCCTACTGGATATGACATGGCGTCTCGTGATTTTGATTTGCTTTTCTGTAATGGCTAATGATGTTAGCATCTTTCTATGTGCCATTTGTATATCTTCTTTGGAGAAATGTCTATTCATATCCTTTGCCCATTTTTAAATTGGGTTATTCATCTTTTTATTATTGGGTTACAAGAGTTCTTTTTTTTATTCTGAATATAAGTCCCTTATAAGATAATTGATTTGTAACTATTTCCTCCCATTCCATGGGTTATCTTTTCACTTTCTTCAAAGTGTCATTTTCAGCACAAATATTTTTAATTTTTATGAAGTTCAATTTATTTTTTTCTTTTGTTGTTTGTACTTTTAGTGTCATGTGTAACCCAAGGTCATTAAGATTCACACCTATGTTTTCTTCTAAGAGTTTTAAAGTTTTAGCTCTTACATTAGGTCTATGATCCTTTTTGAATTAATTTTTGTATATGATGGAAGAAGGTAAGGGTCCAGTTTCAGTCTTTGGATATCCTGTTGTTAAGCACCATTGTTGAAGACTGCTCATTGTACGTTATATTGTCTTGGCACCCTTGTTGAAAATCAATTGACCTTAAATATAAGGTTTTATTTCTGGATTCTCAGTTCTCTTCCATTGATCTATTTGTCTGTATGCTAGAACCACACTGTCTTTATTACTCTAGTTTTATAGTAGGTTTTGAAGTTACAAAGTATGAGATCTCCTTTGTTCTTTTTTAAGATTGTTTTGTCTACTCTGGGTCCCTTGCATTTTCTTATGAGTTTAAGGATCCAACTTGTCATTTTCTGCAAAAAAGGCAGCTAGACTTTTGATTGAGATTATGTTGAATTTGTGCATCAATTTGAGGAGGATTGCCATCTTAACAATATTGTGATCTCATCCATGAACATGGGATGTGTTTCCAGTTATTAAGTCTTTAATTTCTTTTAACGATGTTTGGCAATTTTCAGAGTACAGCTTTTACAATTCTTTTGTTAAAGTTATCTTTCTATATTTTTTCTTTGCTCATTATAAATGAAATTATTTTCTTAATTTTATATTTTGATTATTCAACTCACTTAAATTTGGCTTTTCTCCTGACCAGTACACCAGCATTTCTCTCACTGTAGTAACCATAGGCCTCCGTCTCCTGATTGTCTCTTTCTGACCTCCCAGTCTGACAAACCTATTTATTATAGAAATGTGCTAAACATCATTGCAGTGTAATCAGACCCACTTCTTCATTTTCTTATAAATACTTGTATAATGCTTTTTGTTATTCATGATTTTAGGCAATTTGACAAACTCGTTTGTATGCATTGTGTGGCTCATATCTGAATCTGATATCCACAGTTCACAGTGTAGATTAAAGTAATTTTGGAGGGGCACATTGCTTCTTCAATCACCACCATTGTAAATGTTTGGTAGCCATTACCAGCAAGTGACCTCAAATTCCATTTCAAAAACGTTTATCTTTTCTTCCTAATATTAGGTACATATAAGGTCTTACATTTTTGGTTCTCGTCAACTTTTTTTTTGCTGGACATTTGCTGGACAGCACAATCCAAAATCACTGATAACCTGTGAAACTGTCAGGTTTGTCTTCTTAAAATTTCATAGTGAAAGGGGAGTATTAGGGTGATGTAGTCATTTTTTTTCAGTTTGTTTGCGTGTAACAATTTTATTTAAAGAATTTTCCTATAATTTTTTTCTTCTTTATCAGCATGTTTTCCTGTGTTTCTAGTTTGGGTTTTTCTTTTTTTTAAAGATTTTATTTATTTGCTTGACAGAGAGAGACACAGCGAGAGAGGGAACACAAGCATGGGGAGTGGGAGAGGGAGAAGCAGACTTCCTGCGGAGCAGGGAGCCCGATGGCGGGGCTTGATCCCAGGACCTGAGCCAAAGGCGGACGCTTAACGACTGAGCCACCCAGGCACCCCGCTGTGTATCTAGTTTGTGTGTTAATGCCTGAGGTGTTTTTTTAAAAACCCTACCTCATTTTATTGGACTTTCTTTTAAAGTTAACTTTTTTTTTGTCTTTGTTTTTTGGAGATCATTTCAGACTTCATGAAAAGTTGTAAATATAGTACGGAGAGTTCCATATACCCTTCATGCAGCATCCTCTGATGTCACTCTCTCACATAATCATAAATTCTATGGTATAGAACATTTGTCACAACCAAGAAGTTAATGTTGGCACAAAACTGTTAACTCAGATGTAGAACTTATTTGGATTTCAACAGTTTTCCTAGTACTGTTCTTTTTCTATTCCAGGATCCAATCTAGGGTCCTACAGGGCATTTAGTTGTCCTGTCTTTGTTGTTTCCTCCAATCTCTTGATAGTTCCTCAGTCTTTGATGACCATAACATTTGTTATTCCTTTTTTTTTTTTAAAGATTTATTTATTTTAGAGAGAGAGAGCGAACATGGGGAGGGGGAGAGGGAGAGAGAAACTTCAGCAGACTCTGTGCAGTCCCTGACATGGGGCTCGATCTCACAACCCTGAGATGATGACCTGAGCCAGAACCAAGAGTCAGACACTTAACTGACTGCACCACCCAGGGGCCCCATGTTTCTGTTCTTTTGTAGACCGTTCCTTTTTTTTTTAATATATATTTTTTTAAAGATTTTATTTATTTATTTGACAGAGGGAGACACAGCGAGAGAGGTAACACATGCAGGGGGAATGGGAGAGGGAGAAGCAGGCTTCCCGCTGAGCAGGGAGCCGGATGCAGGGCTCTATCCCACGACTCTGGGATCATGACCTGAGGATGCTTAACGACTGAGCCACCCAGGTGGCCTGGCTGTGATATATTTATCGCAATTTACCTATGCACTGTGTCTGCTTCCCAACTAAATTGTGAACCACAGAAAGTGAAGGTAGGGTCAGTTCTGTTTTGCTAAGTAGTGACTAACACATAGAGAACTTCGAAGGCCAAAAAGGAATTGAATTGGTCTAAACCAGAAAGGGTATTCCAGACCTGAAGAAACACCAGCAAAATTAATGGGTAGTAAAGGTGGTAAAAAGATTTTGTTCATATTTGCCAAGTCTCGCCCATTACACATAAATAAATAAACACACACACACAGGTATACAAAGTGCATGTGCGTTCTGAGTGGCTTGATAACATTTTTGTTGTTGAGGATTTCAAAATATGTGAAACTGTATATGATCAAATAGCTCATAAACAAGTCACTATGCAGTGTATATCTCTTAAGTGCTTCCCATTTCTCATGTCATATTCCTGGATTTTTCATTCTAGGATATGCCACCAGTGGGTGGATAGTCTTATTTTCCTCCCATAGAAGCCATCTCAACTATCTTACCCCACCACCAGGCAAAACAACTCACATTCATTTGTTCCATTCATCAAATATTTATTGAGCATCTACTCTAGGCTGGCCCGTGTTGTGGAGGCCCTGGGGATACAACAGGGAACAAAACAAAGAACCCTTGCCCTTTAAGAGCTTACATTCTGGAGGAGCTGACAGACACAAACATAAAAGCAAATTATATAGTATTTTTAAGAGGCACTAAGTGCTTTGGAAAAAAGAAATTGAACAGC